TTATGATTTTATTATTCGTTAATACACATTTACTCAGGATTTTGCCTTTATTTTAAATTAAACTTATCTAACTTGGACTTATAACAAATATTAAATTTCATATTATATCAAAATGAGAGTGTCGATTTATCCATTGATGTAGGTATTTTTTCTTTTTTTTCCAGGTATTTGCTTTCCTGCACTACCTCCTTATTAGCCAAGCCCACGTATTGCTTGTCCCACGTCCTGCAGTCTACACAGCCCAACTTAGGCGTTATCAAGCCTCTTGTGGTCTGAATGTCTCCGTGTCAGGTGGTGGAGCGTCTTTAAATCGACGGCAACAATCATCTGGCACCGGAAACATTCTCTGTTCTCTTGCGCGACAGATCGTTTTTGGTTTGACCAATCTGTTGGCTGGACATTCCGCTCCGGGTTTGCCAAGTTCCAGTGATTGGCAGCTCGTTTTTGGTTTGCTGGAAGTGGCCGGCGCTGGCGCTAGGCCTTACAGATGGCCGCCATCGGGTTGGCCTGCAGGACAGGAAGTGAACGGGCATCAAAGCGCTCGGCGGTCAAGGACCAGACGAGGTCTGCGTAGACAGACAATAAGGCGGGACGAGAATCGTGCTGCTGAGACCCTTCGTGGAGATCTAACAACTCCATTAACTGGAACCATTCTATGTAATTCCAATATACTCTTAACCTTGGACTGATCTGGCAGGTCCATATATCCATACAGATTCTTTCCACAAATCATTGTCTTTTTTAGTCCTGATTAAGACTTAATCTTCTCTAAAGTAAGAGCCTATTTTATTATCAAACTTCCTATTTTCCACCGAAATTCATCTTATTTATGTCCACCTGATACTCATCATCAAAATTTGTATCATCCAGTTCAGCAACAAAATATTTTCTAAACCACAAGCTAAATTATCCTTTACATGGTGATGCTTTGATCTCGCCTTCGCAACTTGTTCGTATTTTCTTTGGGAGCTAGACCAACGCATCTTGTACGAAGTCATTTGCCATAGTAGCCATGATAATTTCCAGCGTAGGTACATTCAAACGTTCCTCTTGTATCGTAGTATCTATCTTCACATAGCCTAGCATAAGCCCTACAGAGACGCAGGTTTAAGTATGCCTTTCTCAAGGCTTCTTAAACCCAATCAGCATTCCCACATCCATTTATCCCAATTTTCAACTGAATTATTATCTTATCTCATTGTTTCTCTTTAATGCCCGATTTCGATCACGTTTACGTCAATCAACGACGGGCAGACATAAGACCAAATCCTCGAATAAACGGGGGCTTATAGACAACCAGTGGGATTGAATTGTAATGTTCAACTGAAGCAGGGACATTTAACAATTGGGGTGGATGGCTGTGAGAGTTCCGATAGGTTTCCAGTAAACAGCATCTAACACTAGTAATGAAGATGATTACGCTTCATTGAATTCATGTCAAGTGATAATTTTAGACGGAATTGGACCAAAGAAATACGTATGTGTGTTGATTGGTAATTTGACAATATGAATTGGTATTATGGGATGAGAATAGTGTAGTATGAGTTAAGACCTCTATGCCATTCATTTGTCACTTGTCATTAACGAATTGTACCTCGGTCAAAGGCTCGTGCTTCTCTGACTATGGTAGCTTAAAGTTTGGGAATTA